AGGTGAGCGCCGTGGGACCTCCAGAAGGTGTCTGCTACTCAGAGGGCAGCTCAGACTCCAGGCACGGCCTCCGCCAGCCTGCACCCACCGCCATCAGGGTCAGGGCAGAGCTGCCGGGCACACTGGGCAGAGGTCCTAAGACGGCGGGCCCACAGGGCTGGGCTGTGGGTCACAGGCAGCTCCAGAATGCATAGCCAGAAAGAAACCTGGCACTGTGAACAGCCCCCCAACAGTTTGCACTCGCATGCACACACAGTTCATGCGCGCACACACACACACACACACACACACACGCAGTTCGCATACACAGGGAAGATCACAGCATGTGGATGGAGGCAGCCAAACTGGAATCAAAGCGTTGGGCTCCATGCCACTCTCAGGTGCCATAAAGCCAGGTATTCAACAAAGGTAGTGCTCACAAAAAAGCACTGGACGCTGTAAAACTTCCCATACCGGGCCCGGGACGGTGGCGTACCCTGTAATCCCAGCACTCCAGAGTTACACGGGAGGATCACTGTGAGTTCAAGGGCTACAAAGTGAGCTCAAGGCCAGCCTGAACTGCACAGCAAGACTATGTCTCAAAAAAAAACAAACAAGCAAACCAACTCCCCTCATTCCAAAACATAAATCACAATAGTAACTATAAAGTGCCCCTTCTCCTGGTACCCAGGGTAGATTGCTTTAGGCAAGCTGGGCGTAACTGGACGGATAGGGGCGGCTGGGTCTGGCCATGAGGCCCTTTGCTGCTGTAGCTGGGGGTGCTGCTGGGCGGGGCTCAGAGCAACTCGGGGTCTACCAGCCGGGCTTCCAGCTGAGGGTGCAGCCGCCTGGGTCTCTCCAGGGAACCTCGGGAGCCCCGACGGAGCTCTGCGGGGACCCAGGTAGGAGGCCCTGCTTGAAGCCCAGCATGGCTGCAGCCCTTTCTTCCCAAACCTTCGAGACCTTCTGTGCTTCCTGGAAGCCGGGCAGGCAGAGGCCCTGGTGGCGGGCTGGAGGCCTTGCACGGCTCACGGCCTGGCTCAGGCTGCCACCACCCAGGGGTGCCCAGCAAGCTGCCGTCCACTGCAGGAGCGGGCGGGACAGTGTTTCCCTGGGCATGGCCAGCTCTGGGCTGAAGTGCTCAGGGCAAGGGTTGGTGGCCCGGGTGGCCCCAAAGCCCTGGATGGGCCTGTCTCCAGCTCCGGTCTGATCACGCAGACTGGCCCTGCCCACTCCCAGAATCAGGGCAGGATTGTGCATTTGCACCACTGAGCCTACAGGGTCACAGAAGGTGACGCGTGTCAGTGACCTGTGAGCCAGCAGAGGCTGCCTCGCACCTGACGAAACCCAGTGACTGATTTCTCTCACCCAGATTTTGTCCTGCACATAAGAAAGTTCCAAATAGGCCCAGTTTTCTTCCTGTGTGCTGGAGTTTCCATGTAGCTTTTAGGTTTGGGCCTATGCTCCCTCGCACATTAAATCGGACATGTGGTGTGAGGAAGGGCTGGGATTTAATACGATATTCCGAAGAGTGTGTGGAGAAAGGCGCTCCCCGCACTGAAGGCCTCTCCTGTGGCCAAGCGCCAGGAGCCCAGCGTCTGCAGCTCCTGTTCTGGGCTGCCCCGAATCGCACACGTCTGCCTGTCCCTGTGCCAGTGCCCTGCCACCCCAATTACTGTAGCTCTGGGCCAAGCCTGAGAGACATGGAGCGGAACCGCCCACATTCATTATTTCTCAGATATTTTGCTATTTTGAACCTCTTACAGTTAAATAAAAAAATTTTAAACGAACTCCTGCTAACCCCAAGCACCACAAAAAAGGAAGTCCACTGGACGTGGGTGAGGCTGGACTTAGGAAAACGGACACCTAAGTGTGGAGTTTCAAAGCTTTCATAAATGAGGCTAAAGGGAAAGTAGGGGAGTGGGAAAAAACCCCAAGATACATCACGTACAGGTAGATTCCCTGTGATGAAAGTTATTATGTGTACTTAAAAATGTATCCATAAATTTCATTTCAAAAAAAAGTATGGCGTACCCAGCCGGTTGTGAGGGTGCACACCCACAATCCCAGCACTCAGGAGGCTGAGGCCTGGGGTACGCAGCGAGACCAAGCCTCAAATCCCCGTGCCCCCAAAACCTAAGCCTGTTTAGCATTCCTGGGACAAAGCTTACTTGGCCTAATGGTTTACCTAAGGGTGTTCGTAGGACCGGACTTGCTAAAACTGCGGAGCATTCTTACGTGCACGAAGGAAACGCTCCAGCTCCCTTGGGATCTCTGCTGTGGGGACCGGGACACAGCTAGCCCCCGAGCCGTGGGCTTTCCGCTTCAGCTTTCCGGGTGAAGTTGTACAGAATTAGTATTATTTCTACTTTAAAATGCGGTCACATTTTTCCACTGAAGTTACCTGTGTCAGTTTTTTCTTTCCCAAGATCACAGGTCGGTTCCTGACAGGTAGGGTATTCTGTTTCTTCTTCAGTGAACGGAGGTCATTTCCACTTCCCAACGAATTCACATTTGTTTCATTTGTCAAAAGCACCGTCTGTCCTAAGCTTCGATGGTCTGTGCCTGTCGCAGTGGCTGGCCGTGTCATCTCTGACGTAACGCTTTCCTCACCAGTCTAAGAGAAGTTTATGAACTTTCTAGAGGCACTGGAAGATTTTGGCTTGGGGGTTTAATTGTATTGTTTTTCTGTCTTCAATGCCATTTGTTTCTGGTCTACCTTTGCTATTTGTCTTAAAATTTTACTTCCAGCTTATGAAGGGGGAGGCAGAAGTCTTGAGAGACCTCACTGAAGCACAGCGCTATAAAACAAAAGGATGCAGAGCTAGTCTCGCCCACGTACTGACCTAGTTCTGGGCCACGTACAGGAATGCTAAGAACTGCATGTCTACAGACCAGCCAAGAACAAGTATAAACCCAAATCAGAAAAAAACTATTTACTAAGAAAATAAATATCAAACAAGCGCATACAGGACATGGGACGGCCGAACCACACAGTGCAACACCAGCGTGGTAAAAGAGCAGGGACAGTGTGGTCCCGGGTTGACTTGGCACTGGGGGGTGAGCGTGGTTTCTCCGCAGACCCAGCCAGAGTTCACACCGCTCCAAGCCAGTCTAAGCAGGATTTTCATAGAAACTGATTCTAAAATGCCCACTGGAGGCGTAAGAGAACCACCGCCCCGCTGGAGAATCACATTACCAAGGCTTAAGGCGTGGCACAAAGTGCTGTCCCCCTTGACCACACAGAACTAGAAAAGGAGACACAGATGAAGTCCAAAAACAGCTGTGGATCGATGTGGCTCACTGATCCTCAGAGAAGACTGGAGCGAAGTTCGGAAGAGGAGGCACCATCTCCCCCGCCCAGGGAGCCGGACCTGGCACCCACCCAGACGCCCCACCAGGCAGAAGCAACTCTCTCACCTTTAAACAAGTTAACAACATGATCGTGCAGAATAACAACACTCAAGGGGCCAGGGAGTTGGCTCAGTGGAATAAGCGCTTTCCTGGCAAGCACAAGGGCCTGAGTTCAATCCCTGGTTCCGCCAAAAAAAAAAAAAAAAAAGAACAACACTCAGAAGAAAATCTTTGGGACCTGAGGCCAGGCAGAGTCTCATACTCCAAAAAGGCATAAAAAGGAAGTGTGATAACCTGGACTCGCCAAATCAGCAATGCTGTGAAAGGAACTGCAAAGAGGAGCGATGTCATAGACCAAGAAAATGCCGTGCAGACCGGCTAACAGACTAGTGCTTTGGTTTCTCCTTCTTGTCCTTTTGAGGCCAGGCCTCACGCTGCAGCTTTGGCTAGCCTTGACCTACATGGCCCAGGCTGGCCCGAGTCGAAGCCATCCTGCCTGCCTGCCTCAGCCTCCAAGTGCTGGGTTACGAGCGTGCGCTCCCACACCCGGCTCATGTAAGGACTCTACACAGTAAGGACATAGACAACTTAAGCGTGAACGAGGACTTGAACAGACTGCACCAAAGATGCAGCCGGCAGACAGCAGGCGAGGGGTCACCACCACTGCCAAGGCCGCAGCAGTACGCCGTGAGGAGCAGGGCCAGCGGGCGCTCAGAGGCGGTGTGGCAGGCACCCTCCGCTGAGCAGCAGCAGCCCGTCAGAGCCACCTCCAGAAGGGGCCATGTCCCCACTATGGCGGTGCGCAGTGGGGCCCACTCTGGGGGCGGCGCCAGCTCCATCAGCAGGACGCAGGAAGACTTCCCTGTGCTTGCTCGGGCTTCCTTCCTGAAGCTCTTACGTTTAACCTTTCTTCTGTCCTGACTCGGGCCAGCCAGCCTCCTCCTGCGCAGGTCTGCAGGGACTAATAGCAAGCTACAGGCGCGAAGCCTGAGCTGCGTAGCTCTCCTTCCTCAGCAGAGCGGCCGGGGAAAACGGTGGCATGTCCACCAGGTGTGCTGCCGCAGCAGCAGGCGTGGGAATGGCAGCAGCCAGCCTGCAGTGGCACTGCTCAGTGGGGCTGCAGGCTTTCCACAATGGGGACGCCCCTTCCCTAGAGGCCGCAGGCCCTACTCCCTCTCAGCAGGCAGAGCCCAGGGGCCAAGCAGCAGAGCTGGGTGCGGCCAAGGTCTGGCCCAGCACACCTGTCCCTCCCCACGGGGGCACCTGACTGCCCGGGCTGGAGCAGCCTCCCCTGCCTCTGCACTGGCAGCAGGTGACCGAGGGATGTCGTGGGGGACAGAGCCTGCCTCAGTCCTCTGGCCCAGATGGACAATGGGACTCAGGCTTGCAGGGCTCGGGAGGGGCGCGAGCTGCTGGCCCTAGTCCTCGCAGTACCCACAGCAGGCCTGAAGGAATGTGCTTTATTCATCTGCTAAACTAGACGCTAAAATCTGGCTGAGCCATGAGTCTATTCACAGAGTGCGGCCCACGGGCAGAGAGCACAGGTCCAGCTCCTCCTGCCACACACCCGTCCTCCAGGTGGGCGTGGGCCAGCCAGCACCTGCGCAGGATGCCGGCCCACGGAGCACACCCTCACAACGGGACAGCACCACACAGTGGCCGCATGGTCAGCGCTTCTTCAGGCTGTAGGCCAGGCTGCTGGGGACCCGGGAACCCTGCAGGGTGGCGAATTCCAGACAGCCGAACTGGTCCGCTTGTGGTAACGAGGCTTGCTCTTCTTGAAGATGTCCTCCAAGTCCAGTGGGAGGATGACCCCAAAGAGCTCGGCCAGGTTGGGGGGGTGGTAGTACTGGTGGACGATGGCCTGGCTGAGTTGCGTGCCTGGGGGGAGGGGGGGCACAGGGTGGGGTCAGGGCTCTGGGCCCCTGCACCCCACAGGACGCCAGCTCCACTGGCCAAATCCCCAAGCTCAAGGCCGGGGTCTCCTCTGATCACACAGCCTTGCCAGCTGGCACCTCCTGCGCCTCACAGACTGAAGTCCCCAGGAGTGCAGAGGCGAAGCTCAGACATGCACTGTCTTCCCTGGCACACTGACGCCCCCAGCAGGCGTCTGTGAGCCTCCCACCCTGAGCACTCTGCCTGACACAGCTCGGTGCTGCCCTGGCAGCTTGCATGGGTGCCAGCTCTGGTCCCGAGTACAGGGCCTGACCAAGGTTCCTGCCCCCTGCCCACCTCAGGCCCACTGTCCCCGCTACCCCCACGCACCCCTGGCCCAGGCCGGGACGGGCTTGCGGGGCTGGGCCTCGTCGTCCGTGGAGTCGTCACTGTTCAGGTCCATCCCGTAGTTACAGTATCCGTCCAGGTTGATCTTTGGGGGACGCTTAGGCCCCTGCGGAGTCATTTGATAGGAGGTGCAGGCCGGGGACTGGGGAAAGGACAGGGCGTCAGTCCCTCCCCACGCCGCCCTGCAGGACACCACCCTCAAGCACCGAGGGCATAGGACAGAGGATACACAGCTACGCCGCCTGCAGGCCCAGGAGCTGATGCCGCAGCAGGGATCAGGGCCGGACGTGCTGGCTCCAGAGCACCCAGGCAATATCATGGGCGCCTTGCCAGGGTGGCAGCACAGCAGGGAGAGGCTTCAACCGCAGTGCATGTCTGCATGTGTGCAGCAGGCAGACAGGAAAGCAACGTGCAACGAGCGCAAATGTCCCCCCTCAGCCCGGCGCCCTCACCTGCACATCCACAGTCACATTCAGGGCCTTGCTGGCCCCTGCCGTCTCCCTGGCTTTCTTCTCCTGCTGTTCCTGCAGCCGCTGCTCGGCCAGGCGCTGCTCCTCCTCCTGGGTGCAGGAAGCAGTGGGCCCGAGTGAGGACTGCACCCTCCTCAGTGTGTGGGCGCCCCCACCCTGCCCCCACCACAGCAAGGCAGCCTGGCCCTACCTTCTTCTTCTCCTCTAGTTCTCGCTGCAGCCGCAAGGCCTTCTCCCGCTCCTGTAGCTCCCTGAGGACCCAGCAGGAGCTTGTCAGCCCCAGAGGTGCAGCCTGTCCCTGTCCCCATCCTGGCCAGGGCAGCTAGGCCCGGGCACCACGGAACACTAGCTTGGAGCTCACACTTGCTCCGAGGGCACCGGGGGCCGTGCAGCCTGGCTCGCCTAGGTCTCGGGCCCCTCTGCCTTGCAAGACCACTGGTAACGCTCCTCTAGTGCCGTCACTAGCCCTACACACAAGGGCCTCAAGGCGGCCTGCCCTGTGTCAGACTCCTTCCCCCAGCAGGTGCCAGACACCTGCCCACCTCCTGTCACCATTGCATGCCCTGTCCAGGGGGCGCTGGCTGGGAGCCATGGAAGGCACCCCCACTGGTGGTCTTACCTCTCTGCCTGAAGCCGCTCCTGCTCCCGCCGCCGCTCCCGCTCCTGCTCCTCTGCCAGGCGCCGAGCCTCGGCCGCCTTGCGCAGCCGCTCCTGCTCCTCCTCCTTCCTCTTCTGCAGTAGCTCCTGGTGGCGCCGCTCCTCCTCCTGGTACAGGATGGGACACAGGGTCAGGGGCTCTTGGCCAGACCTAGCCCACAGGGAGGGGACCTCGTGGGCCAACGGCAGACACAGCTTGAGCAATTCTGCGGCCAGCTGAGAAGGCGTCTGTGACACCGGAAGCAACGGGCTGGAGCCCTGTACGTGCCCAGGTCGCACCTCATCTCAGACCCCTGGGCTCGCTCCCACCACACATTCAGAGCAGGGCCAGGCCCAGAGCAAACCCATTTCAGCAGCAGCAACGAAGGTGACCAACTTGCTCCCCGAGAGAGAGGCAGCCGCAGCCCCTCCAGGCAGCGCACACGAGGGTCGCAGGGCGCCTGCTGCCCCAGCCACAGAGAGCGATCTAACAGCTGACCTGAGGCCACACAGCTCGCGGGGCAGGGCACACTACCGCCTAGGCCAGCACCTGCCAGAACTCCCACAGGGCCTGCAGCAGCAAGACCCAGCGTGGCAGGCCAAGGTCCCGCCCACACACCTGCTGCAGCCACCGGAGCCTCCGCGCCTCCTCCTCCTGCCTCCTGCGCGCCTCGGCCTCCTCCATCTTCTTGGCCATTGCCTTCTTCTTGGCCTTCTCCTCTGCCTGCCGCTCTTCCTTGGCCTGCAGAGCCGGGCACTTGAGCGCCTGCCCGGCCCAGGATCAGGCGCTTGCCCCAGGCCGTGGCCCCCCGGCCGAGGCTCAGGCCCGAGTCGGCTGGGCCGTGGTCCCCCGGCCCCTGGCCGCCCGCCTGCCCGCACCTTCTCTGTCTTCTCCTCGAGCTGCGCGAGCTTCTGCTCCATCTGCCTCTTCTTCTCCTCCTTCAGCTGCTCCACCCGCTCCCGCGCCTGCAGCACCTTGCGGTGGCGCTCCTCCCGCTTCCTGCAGGGCGCGCTGTCAGTCGGGGCCTGGGGGGCCGACCGCCCACGCGGGCAGGCCACTTACATCTCCTCCTCCCCCCGCCGGCCACATGGGCAGGCCACTTACATCTCCTCCCCCTGCCACGCGGGCAGGCCACTTACATCTTCTCCTCCCGCCAGCCACGTGGGCAGGCCACTTACATCTCCTCCTCCCCCCGCCACGCGGGCAGGCCACTTACATCTCCTCCTCCCCCCGCCACG